CTTCGTTGAAATACGGATTCAAACAATGGCTTTGCTTAGTAAAAGAGGGTTGGTTGCACGTCTTCCCCTTTGTTTGAATTTTGAACGGACTGGCTTTAAAATGCAGAAATCCCACGTTTTCATAAAAAAATGGGCTTGGTGGAAAGCTCACCTCCCAAATTGAATTTTTGAAAGGATTGGCTTTCAAACGCAAAATCCCTTGCGAATACACTAGTTTCAATCAGTGTTCGATTCAGGAATACAGAAAAGTCGTTAATGAATAGGTGCTCCAACTATCGATTTGATACGCTATGTTAAACAACAAACCAGAATGTTAATATGAGATCAGTTACAATTGTCCTATTCAGGTTTGTTCGTTTCACCATGGCCATCGTTATCATCGAAGATCTTCATGATGGAAACAAAACATCCATGCAACATTTTGAAGAGATTTCCACAATAGCTCTTCAACACGATGTTCAGGTTCTTGCCTCGGCATCCGGGTCTTCGAAGACGGTGGCGTCATGCATTTGTATCTGGGATATTGCAACTGGTGATTGTAAAAAGGTAGAGGCAGTGGCGTAGACAGCAGCTCTCAAGCTTGTTCATGCTATGTAATTATTTAGGTGTAGAGGCAGGGCGTAGCCAGCTCGCAAGCTTGTTCATGCTATGTAATTATTTAGGTGTAGAGGCAGTGGCGTAGCCAGCTCATGCTTGTTCATGCTATGTAATTATTTGGGTGTAGAGGCAGGGTAGCCAGCTCGCAGACATAAATGAGCATTTATATTTGTATTCTGATGCTGACATATCCTCCCGGTGTTGGCCTTCATTTCTCAAGAGCGATCGTTTTCTGATGATGCTATGTAAACTATTTAGGTGTAGAGACAGTGGCGTATCGAGCCGGCAAAAGCATTCATTCTATGTAATTATTTAGGTGTAGAGTCAGTGATGTAGCCAGCCCGCAAGCTTGTTCATCTGTAATTATTTGGATTAATAAGAGGCAGTGGTGTAGCCAGCCCGCAAGCTTGTTCATTCTATGTAATTATTTAGGTGTAGAGGCAGTTATGTAGCCAGCCCGCAAGCTTGTTCATTCTATGTAATTATTTAGGTGTAGAGGCAGTAGTGTAACCAGCACGCAAGCTTGTTCATTTTATGTAATTATTTAGATGTAGAGGCAGTGGTGTAGCCAGACCGCAAGCTTGCTCATGCTATGTAATTATTTAGGTGTAGAGGCAGTGGTGTAGCCAGCCCGCAAGCTTGTTCATTCATATAATTATAGGTGGGAGGCGGTGACGTAGCCAGCCCGCAGCGTTCACATGCCTGTAATTATTTAGGTGTGAGGCAGTGGCGTAGCCAGCCCGCAAGCTTGTTCATTCTATGTATTTTTAGTGAAGGCAGTGGCGTAGCCAGCCCGCAGCTTGCTCATGCTATGTAATTATTTAGTTGTTCAC